GTTGCCAAATATCTATCTGCGCAAGGTCAGAGTTCCTTCATATGCTTCAGTCAAAAATCCCATATGGCCATAGATTGAATGCAGATATGAAAATCCTACGTGTCTTCTATTAAGCCAAACATTAAAGTGATAGGCAAAAACATAAAGCAATGCTACTCCCCAAACTTTTGGGAAGATAGCAATTTTTCATTAAAATATTATCTTCATCAATTCACAATCAGTTTATAGTTGCTATTTTAAAATGAATTGACATTTAAATTTTTTCTTTCGGGGCGATTCCAAAATGCTTGAGTATATAAAGGAGGCTTGAGACCAAAAGTTTGGTAAGTCCTGATTTAGTCTTATACCTGCTTTTGTGAATGAGTCTTAGTTCCCAGTTCCCCAGACAGAGCCAAAATTTGGTCTTCAGAAAGGCCTTTCTCACACCCTGTTAGTTCATTTTAGTCTATAGTCTTCTCTGGCTTTGGATTCCCTGTGTGTTAGGTGCTATACACAGAGCTATCCCTTCTCTCGTTTGTTTATTTGGGTGTTCTTTCAGACCAGAGACACGAGGAGTAGAAGACAACAGGAAACAGGAAGATCAGAGGCTTCTGGCCAATGCACACACACGCTCATGCAGATGCTGCAGTATCTCGTGAACATTGGGGGTTGGGCTTCACGCCTCTCGTTGTTAACCAGCATCGTCAGGTGTTCACCTGACAAGTATGTATTGAGTGCCATGATTCTTATGGGCATTGTATCGCCAACCTCCCCTTGGGTGTCCCACAAGCACTATCAATTCAGAGCCACCCCCCTTTCCACCCAACAGTTCTTCCTCCAGTGTGTCCCATCCCACTGATTGGCACCATCAGCCACACTGCAGCTCAACCCTAAATTCTCATCAATGTGTTTGTCTATCCTTTGACTTTCACACCCACCCAATTCCCAGGTCCTCCTGAAAAGTCTACCTCTTTAACACCTCTTGAACTTTCCACTGTTCTCCACCGGCCCCACTTTTAGACTACCTTCATCTCTCAGCTGAGGAGTCCTGGTGATGCAGTGGTTACGCAGTGGGCTACTAAAAGCAAGGTCAGCAGTTCAAAACCATCAGCTGCTCCAAAGGGAGAAAGACGAGGCTTTCTACTCCCACACACATGCAGAGCACTGAATTATAAACATAGAAGCTACTGAATTGGTTAATGTTTTGGTGTGTATATTTTTACCAACATGGGAAAAAAAATACATGAATTTTAAAAAGGGGGGGTGTTTTACAGTCTTGGAAACTCATAGGGCTATTCTACCCTGTCCTATAGGGTCACTAAGAGTTGACATCGTTGATGGTAGCGAGTTTTTATCCCTTAGCTATTTCCTATCTTCAAACCAATCTCTCTAGTTCATATAACTAGACTCCAAGTCACTTAGAACATTTCTCTCTATATATATATAATTTGTTCTCGATATTGCATTGTGCAGAGCAAGCAGTTTGAAATCAGTTGCTAACCTGAAAGTTGGCAGTCCAACCCAGCGGCACAAGAAAGGCCTGGCAAACTGCTTCCAGAAAAACTGCAGCAAACCCTCGGGACAGTTCTACTCTCCAACACCCCAGGGTTGTCATGCATCAGAATCAACATGACAGCTACTAGTTTTCAGTTTTCCCATTATCATTCAAAGGATCAGGGTTGAAGTTATCATCTCCACTTTACAAAGGAAGAAGTCTAGAGACTAGAAATTAAGTGATGGGTTTAAAGGGAAATCACAGTTAGGTCCTTCCCCTAGCTGAATGGCTAGGGATCTTAACTCTCGGGATAAGACGCAAGCTCCCCAACAAGCTATGGTGGTAGCTTTCCAGCCTCTATTCGGCTCTATGATTCTTTCATCACAAAGCTCCCCCCCTCCGCCCCTGCTATTTTTATTGGGAGCTATTAAAGATATTATAATAATCCATAGTTCAATTAGATCAAGCATGATTGTACAATTGTTTCCACCATCGTCGTCAAAACATTTTATTTCTTCTTACACTCTTTGATATCAGCTCCCCCTTATCCAGCCTTCCCCCACCCTACCCAGAATCTTTGTTATTATATTAAATATTATTATTGTTTATATTCCTCTTTCCCACCCATGCCCTCATCCCCCTTCCCCCATCTTACACCATCCAATGTATACGTTCATCTACCATTCTGCTATTTGCTCCTGTTATTCATCCCCCTCATGTGGGGTTAGATAGCCATTTACTATCAGTTCCCCTATCCCTCCCTTTCCACCGGCCCCCCTTTCTGTACCCTCAGGTAAACATTACTCCTGTTACTATTTCTGAAGGGTTTTTCTATCTTGCATTTTATGTAAGGAATGATTCACCAGGCTTCTTGTTTTTATACATGAAGCTCCCTCTGCCCGGGACGTTCTTCCCTCAACTGACTGCACTTGCATGCATCTTCTTTCAGGAAGCTCCCTGCTCTCAGCCGGAGAGCAACAGTATCACACTTGTCTTTTGTTTTGGTTTGTTTCTATTGTCTCAGTACGCATTCCATCCTGTGATCCCCTGGCCTCCTCCACTGGCACGCATTAAGGCTTCCTCTTTGTGCTATCAAGACCTATGGGCTTTTACAAAGACATAGTGCCACGCATCCACAGTGGCAGTATCACACCGAATAGGACCATGTCATTTAACAGCCCCGTGGTTTCACCTATTTTAACCTCTGTCCTCATCACAGTTTTGCTGTTGTTGTTGTTGTTTGGGGGGTGGGTTGCTCATCATACTGTTTCAATTGCTCCTTTCTGAGTTTTTAAACAGGATCTGTCCTGTTTAAGACAGTGTCCTGCCCATGTGTAAAATGCCCAGTGCTAGGGGGCTACTTACAAACTCTTGTTGAATACAAAAAACCGAAACTCTTTGTTGCACCCACTGTTTAAATCCTCGCCACAGATGTTGACGGTCACTGTAAGTGGCTCTCCGTCTCACAGCAACCCTCTCCAAAGTTCCAGTTTGCTCCTAAGTGCCTCCTATGCCATTTTTTCCTCGATGGCACAGGCTTGTCTAAACGAACATAACGCACAGAGGACTAAGGCTGCTAACATGTCTGTAGCACTCAGGCAGGACAGGCTCACAGTGGTCTGGGCAACACCGAAGTGAAGGGGGAGGTCCACTGGGGAAGGGGAGTGTTAAGTGGAGAAAGTTACTTGCACCAAAGAGAGTTAGGAAAAAGTGTGGCTTGGAAAGCCTCACATTTAAAGCGACACAATACATGTCCACTTGAATGCTAACCTGCTGCTGTCAAGATGATTCAGACTCATAGCGACACCACAGGACCGAGAAGAATGGCCCCATCACATTTCCAAAGCTGCGGTATTTGTGCTGAGGCTACCACGTCGTTGCTCTCACAGAATAGCTGGTAGGTTGGAACTGCCAACCTTTTGATTGGCAGCTGAGTACGTCACCACCCAGCCATCAGCACTGAAATCCAGCATTGCTAAGACGCTCGATGAACCGAGTGCTCTAAGGACCAGTAACACTTCTTGGCCGGAGAGTCTAGGCCCTGGTTGGAAACCTGACTTCCTGGCGCCTATGCTTTTAGAAGGGCTTGGTAGCCCTCCAAAGCCCTGGGAGGAGGGAAGAAGCTTTGGACAACTGAACCGTCAGAGCCCAAACAATGGCTGTCTCTGTGCAGCTGGGCTTTGCACCTGGTGCCTGCACAGGGCCCTCTGAGCTTTTGTCCTTCCGCACACAGTGATGTCCACACACAGAGCTGGGCTTATAAATACCCTCCCAAGGAGAAGTGAAATCACTGACCAGTTCTCCTTTTCTGCGCTTAATTGGAGCCCAGCAGCCAAGAGCAGCCGGTACACATGCACAATCGCCCACCCTCCGGGGCTCAGTCTGCTTTTATGATTTTATGGTTGGGAGGTTTGGGGCAAACATCCTGTTGAGAATAAAATGAGACCCCAGACTGACTATCAGGGGCTAAATTTACCACCTTGAAACAGCAAACAAAAGTAACAAGAGAAAGCAAAAGGGCCGATCAAGGCCTGTGAGTACACCATTCATAAAAACAGATCTTCTAAGTCTTCTCTGAGCGTTTTACCTGTATGTAGAAGGTCCTGGAGTTCGTTATTATTTCAAACAGGTTGTCTCTCATTAATAGATCACTAGATGGAAAAAGAAAAAGCAAGTTACCTGTCATGCCGGCACTGGAGCGGCCATTTGATTTGTCCAAAGATAGCAGTACCCTCTTATTAGAACAAATAGTTTAGGGGTCTCCCGGGCCACTGCTCCTCCAGCACCCGACGCAACAAATACTCAGGGTCCCCTCAGTGTTTGTTTCCTAGGTAGTTGGGGAGGGGGGGTGGTAGTGCTAGCCTGATGGACCTCCCCACACAGTTCTACCAAGACTAAGCACCTTTCCCCCCAAAGCTTCCTGCCTAATATCCACCATACCCCTCAATTTCCAACCGGTTTCTTCTTTTTTCAGTAGCTACGATCTACCAAGTGCTTTGTGTGTGTGTGTGTGTGTGTGTGTGTGTGTGTTGCACTCTTTCATGGACCCTTCTCAACAAGCCAATGAGGTAGGTACGCTTTCCTCCTTTTTTGGACGAGGAAACCTAGGTCCAGAGAGGTTAAGTGACTTGGCCGCGGTGCTCAAGTTAATAAATGGCAGACACAAGATTTGAACCCAGATCTGACTCCAGAGTGGAGGCTGTTAATCACTACTAAGGAAGCCAACTCTTCAATTTCTCAACCCGTCTTGCCCCCAAGTAGGCATCTCATCTACCTCCTCCAGTTGTTGCACCTGCGGCCCTGGGCTCAAGAGGCAGGTGTCTCATAGAGGACAGAGCGAAGAGGAGAGTAGCTGATGTAAGTGCTTCCAACTGAGTGTGGGTTCCGGAAGCCGAATCCCAACTTCCGGTAGGAGGAAGTCGCTGACGCTCAGTAGAACACTGCACCTCAACCAAAGCTACTTACAGGGTGAAATGCCTGCTCGGTGTATCCAGTCACGGCCGGCGGGGAACATGTCAGGGATGAAAGATCTAATCTCTACCATCCCCAAAAGAACTTCACAACACCAGCATATAGAGTCACATGTTAGATTGTGTGTGATTTGCCAAGAGTTAGAATCAATTCAAGAAAAGGCTGGTCACAGGTGGGTTTGGCTTGAAGAATGAGGACTTGGGAGGAGATGGCAGAGGCTGGGATGACACTGGCATCCCTGTGAAGGACACCCATAGAACGAGGGATCCACGTGAGAGAAAGCAAGGGCATGAGGGTCACAGGATCCTGGGGCCAAATCCAGGCTCCACTTTTGGAAAAAGCTATCTGGGGAAATTATTTCAAACCACAGGCATGTGTGAACCCCTCCTCCCAAATGTAACATGGAGATGATGAAGATTCCCTGAGGCTGATCACCGAAAAGATCAGTTATAAGGTACAGAGCGGATGGGGCCTGGCAAAGGCCCGTCACTGGGAACATATTTTACTAACATTATTATTACTTCCTGAGTTTCTGAACAGAGATGACTGTTCTTGCTGGCTACAATGTTCTAACCTCTTAAACGACTTACGTACTGTATATGCAGCACAGGACAGCGACAAAATCAACTACCGAGGAAATGAAAGACAGCAGGAAGGAAATCCCCACCCCTTTCACATCCATTTCGTGGGCAAGGGAGCGTCTTTCAATTCTACAAGGGTTTATCGATTACCCAGATCTTCTAAACCCCCCGACCGGGTTAGCAAGAAGCCACATAAGGTAACAGGTCTGCAACCTGCAAACCCTGGGGCCTTCTCTCTTCCATGGCTTCAATGACCTTGATTCTCACTCCCCAAATGTAGGCTATGTCTGGCAGGAGAGTAGGAGACACTCTTAGCACTGAACCGTATCTGGTTCCCCGGGCATCTAGGTAGTCTGACATGCCCTGCCGTGTTAGAAGCCAGCTAGGATCACTGAGGAGCTCATGAGGCCCAACCTTTCCTCCCCAACTATCTCCCTCTAGAACCAAATTTCTGGAATCTTCCTCTTTAGCTGCTTCCATGAATTGCTATCACTGGGAACATCCCTCCTCTGTATCTGCCATGTATAAGCTCAGTATAGTACTTTTTACTTCGGTCCCTGATTCCAGGGGTAAGGTCTGCCTACCACAGACAGCTTCATGAAACCAGCTGGCCTGCTGCTGGTAGTTTCCCTGAGAATGCTGGCTCTGCAGGCACAGTGCACGGGATGCAGGGATGGACATACTCATCCCAAGAGACTGCAGAATGAGGACTCCTGGCTGCCCAGACACTCGTGGGAAGCTCTGGGGTTTCGATTTAAGGACACCTGTGTCTGATGTTGGATATGGAGAGAGCTCTTGTCTTGCGGCCTGTGTCCCCACTTCGCATACACCTTTGTGCTGAGCCCTGCCACACGTGGAAGGCAATCACTTTCTACTGGAAAGAGGAACACACTGAAAAATACTGGTTCTTCCCGCCCAGTGTGAAAAAGAGAGGATTGCTGTGAGTCATCCTTGGCAATGGGGCACTCAGCACTTTGTCACAAGGAGGAGAAAAGGCCTAAGAAGTGAAGGAAGAAGCATGGACCTGCACAGTGATCTGAAGAGACGCTGAAACGTCACTGGTCTGAGGGCTCTGTCTCCCCACAGAACCGCAGGCTCCTGGAGAGTTTGCACCTACTTCGAATGCCTGAGGTGCATCTGAACATTACTCTCTCCCTTCATTTCGATCATCCTTCATTCTCTCCATCGGAAAACAATTCTGAAGGCTCGTCTCCAAGGGGAGAGGGTGCACCCAGGGAGACCTCACAGCTGTCTCAGCTCAGATGCAGGGAGTCAGTCGGAAGACATCAGGCCCCACCCCTAGCTCTTAGAAAAAGAGAGAATTATTTTTTTATTAGAGCCTCAGAAGATAGAAAATGAAGAAATCAAGAAAGAGCGGAGTTCTGATCAGGCGCAGAAGAAGGAAAAAAATAGAGCTAACAATTACCCAGACTTGACCAGACACTCGTGGGTCTTGAGAACATCCTTGAGTGAGATAGTGCGCAGTGGCTCTCGGTCCTGGTGGGAAAATACGGAGAGACGGGTAAGTCAGTCTGTCCACAGAAGGTTACAGCCCCGACCAGCTCGCAGGTGTCCCTCTCTTTTCAGAGATGGGTGGCTTACACCAGAGGGGCAAGAGCCAAGGTCTCAAACTAAATCATGAAGTGTGGGAGGGGGTGGGGAGAATCTGAGCTGACCCTTTGTGGCTCTGACCACAGAGTAGCTCCCTGTGTACGGGGCAGAGAGAAGTCAGGGCCACTCTCACATCGCTGTGAGATGCGTACACTGGATGTCGAGGAGACAGTGGGGTGTGTGTGTATGTGTGTAACCACGCCCCTGCTCATGCACACACTCAGGTGGGTTTGTATTCAAGTGTCGCCCAGTTTCTGCGGCCCCTCAGAATGGCTCCGATACCACTACAAACCTGTTCACACTTGAAGTAGCAGATGGTAAAGCTGTCGAGGGCAAAGAAACGACGTTTCCAGCTCTTGCGCTGAAATTAAAAAATACAGAGGCGGGATATTAGGAAGAGGCTACTGGCATTCAGGAGGGGTGTCCAATTCAAGTCCCCATGGGACCCAACCCATGGAAGCCAGGCTCCCATATTTGGTGAGGGCAAAGGCTTTTTCCATACCAGGGACAATACTTCTGACATGCTGGAAGGATGTCTGGCTCCCAGCATTGTAATGGTTGGAGCCCTGGCTAACATAGAGGACCATGACTTCTCCTCTCAAGCTCTTTTCCCTCTGCTACCTCCACACCCACTGGCTCCACAGCATCACCAGAAGCCCGACCCAGCCCCTGTGCTGACACTCACCACATTGCCTTGCTTCACACAGTAGCCACTCTTAATGAGGGGGGGCCCGGTGGAAGCACGACAGCCTGACGTGGGGATGTAACTCTGAGACCTTCGCAGGATGGCGTGGGACCCTGGCTCATTCCCTTCCTGCCCATCCCCACCATTCTACAAGGAAACAGTGTCAAGATTAGCACATCCTTCCCCCTCCTCCTCTCACTCACACTCCCCACCCAGCTCCCTCTGGTCCAATCTCTTGCCGATTTCCCCCGTCAGTCAAAGAAGAAATAAATATTTACTTTGCTCCCATGGTGGTGCCCTCTTGGGGAAGTGCTTATGCACTGGGCTGCTAACTGCAAGTTCAGCAGTTTGAGAACAACAGTCACGCCACAGGAGAAAGCCGAGCTTTTCCATCCTCATAAAGAGCTACAGTTTCAGAAACCCGCAGGATCAGCTAGACCCTTGCCCTTGAGGGCAGTGAGTGATTACAGGGTCGCTTGGAGTCAGACGGACGCAATGGCAGTGAGTTTGGTTTGGTTTGGTTGCTCCTATCAGGCACAGTACGGCGTGCTTTCACGGAACAAGGCTTGGAGAAAGTAAGCAGACCCAGGAGAGAGGAAAGGGCAGAGAACACAAACCGGAAGAGGAGATACACCTACAAATGGGAGGGAAGAGCGACAAGGGGCTATTTCCAGCCTCCTCTGCCGTCTGTAGCACCATTTCTCATGGGCTGCGAGAACTAAAAGCCCAAACCCACTACCATCGGAATGATTCCAACGCATAATGACCCCCCCAGAATAGAACAGTACTGCTTCATAGAGTTTCCCAGACTCTAAATCTTTATAGAAGCAGATAGCCTCATTTTTCTCCAGGGCAGCAGCTGGTGGGTTTGAGCCACCAACCTTTTGGATAATAGCCCAATCCTTGACCCACAACACTACCAAGGGTCCTGGGCTTAGAGAAGGTGGGCTCAATTTCTGCACTATTATTGCTCATAACCCCCTGCCCTGTATTTCCTGAACTACTCTACTTGTGCTTGCTCCCTTTCCAACCACTCTGGTCTCCTCCAGAGACGTCTGAGTACTTAACTGGCCATGCCACAGACACTGCCCCATGCCCTCACGACCCCCAGCCCCCGCACCTGGTTGATGGGTGTGTGTACCACCACCCCTCCAATGATCTCTGTCTTGTAGGCCACCTGTGGCTTCTTCTCCAGGCCTGGAGGAACTACCGGGCTCTTGATAACTTCAGCAGCCGGGGGCAGGCTCCCGCCTTTGGGTACCTAGGAAAATGAGAGCATCGTCAAGGGGAAATAAGAAGCTTAAGAAAAGCTGAGGGCCCACAGTGAAGAAAGCCAGCGTGGCAGTTAAGGCAGCCCTGTCCTTCCACTGACCCCTATTTGAATACGGATCACAACCTCCTCCACAACACGCCATCTACTCTTCCTCCAAAAAAGTGTACTGTGTGCCTACTACAAGCCAGGAGCCCTGGTGGCATAGCGGCCGAAGTGTCCAGTTGCAAACTGAAAGAGGTCAGCAGTTTAAACCTACCAGCCACTCCTTGTTAACCTTTTGGGGCAGTACTACTCTATCCTTTGGGTCGCTAGGAGTCAGGATCAACTGGATGACCATGGGGATTTGGTATTTGCCTGGCTGGGGTGCAAAGATAAAACTTCAAATGATGTAGACATGGTCCATGCTACTCGGGGAAACTCATAGTAAACGACTCATCAGGATCATTAAAATATTAGGGAGGGTCATAAAAAAATAAACAGGAACCAAGACAGAGACCAGCAGGTAACTAATGGATGGGGAGACTGACAGAGGATGGAAAGGAACCAGAAGACATGAGGCAGGGAGAAAGGACACAGCCGGGCATAAACCAGCAAAAAACGCGTGCTGAGTATGAGAAGGAGAATTAGAGGGCCGGGAGAGCCTGGCTATACTTCCTGGTCTGTCACTAACTAGCTAAATGGCTTTGAGCAAACTATTTCACCTCTTTAGGCCTGAACACTCTCATCTGTAAAATGGGCTGAACTTGAATATTCATGTCACAAAGCCGCTGCAGTTATCAGATGTTCAGAGTATCCAAGAAGGCTTCAAAAATTTCAAAGGATATTCAAAAAACGGAATATCAAGATCATGGAATTTTTTCTCCCCACAAACATTCTGAAGCTCCCACGTATATATAAGTTTTTTATTCCAAAAATACAAACGAAAATATAAAAATGACAATTAATAGTAACATTTACAAGCAAAGCCCTTTCTGAACAAGGAATATATTTGCGGCTTTTTGACACTGTGGCTTCTGAAAGAATACAGAATTCCCTAGTTAGTTAAAGACCACAGACCGGAGGCTGTAAACTGCTGGCCCAGAAGCCTAAATTGCCCAAATGGTGTTTTATATGTCCTACGCAGGGTTGGTTGGTTGTTTGTCAAGAATGTAGTATTTTAGTTCACATAAAAATCCAGATTTCCAGCTAAGCCCAAGTTCCTTCATGCTGCTCTTGTTGGGTCCGGCTCAGAGGGGCCTGCGCAAAGAACGAAACACCGCCCAGGCTGGGCCGTCCTGGAGGCTGTTCCTCTGCTTGAGCCCCTCCACGAAGCCACTGCTTCAGTGCATATTGTTGATGGCCTTCCTTTCTTTGCGATGCCCTGCTACTTTACAAAGCATGATGTCCTTCACCAGGGACTGCTCTCTCCTGATCATGTGTCCAAAGTACTCATGAAGTCTCGTCTCTAAGGAGCGTGCTGGCTGTATTTCTTCCAAGACGGATTTCTTTGTTCTTTTGGCAGTCTATGGTACTTTTTGTATTCTTTGACAGCGCCATTCATCAATTCGTCTTCCGTCTTCCTTAATCACTGTCCAACTTTCGCATGCATATGAGGCAATTGAAAATATCATGGCTTGGGTCAGGTGTACCTTAGTCCTCGTGGTAATGTCCTTGATTTTCAACCTATTCACGGAATTATGTGCAATAGATCCGTCCAATGCAGTGTGCCCCTTGGTCCCTTGACTGCTGATTCCATGAGTACTGATTGTGGATCCAAGAAAGATTCAATTCTTGACAACATCAGTCTTTTCTCCATTTATCATGCTGGTACCTACACTAGTCCAATTGTGAGGATTTGCTTTTTTGACAGTGTTGGCATCCATACTGAAGGCTGCAATCCTTAATCTTCATCAGCCAAGTGCTTCAAGTCCACCTCACTTTCAGCAAGCAAGCTTGAAGTCTTCCTCCAATCCGGATGCCACACTCTCTCATAAAATGGGAAATATGTTCTTCAATTTGCAGTCCCTAGCTCTCTCCCCAGTACCACAGCCACAGGTCAGACATTTATGGTGGTCCTCCATGCTCACTAATATCCATATAGGAGTCTACAAACTCTGGGGAAATGCTTCATTTTGTAATAATATTAGCCCCACATGGCTAATAACTGCAATCTAACTAGACCTGGAGGCCAACCAGCATGCACGCTCTATAGCATCACAAGGCACCTGGCGTTTGGCGGTGACCTTGGGGAGGATGGAGGATGATAAGGACCGTGGTAAGCTGAAGAACATAGTTCCCATCTTAAAAGGAAACTGCCTCCCTTTCACAAGAACTAAACATTCCATCTGCAAAAAAAATAAGAAGACCGCTTCCATCGCTTCTACAAGCTTGCGTATCAGTAAGACCTTCAGGAATGACAAGAATCTAGACCTTTTTTAAGAGTATTAGCTGTGTGGGATCTTTGCCAGAGACAATGACTGAAGCCCACACCACTTGGTTTCTAGTCAAAGGAGAAAGACCACTGTGACTAGACTGAGTCTCTAGGGGAAAACGAGAGCCTCTTCCTGGCCAGAGCACTCAGTTTATAAACGTGTGTGGAGGAGACTCCTTATTCCCCTTTCCTTTTGGCTGTCTGAGAGATGTTGTTATTTGTTAAATGCTGTCCAGTTGGCCCCGACACATGATGGCCTCCTCCTCAAAATGCCGCTGGCGTTCTGTTTGCACCATCGCCATGATCAGTTGGAGATCAGACCATTGTTATCCACAGGGTTTGCCCTGGCAGATTTTGGGGAAGTTAATTATTAGGCCTTTCTTGCTGACCTGTCCCGACTGGGACGCGCCACTGACACATGGTTACGCGTGACCTGCATTGACTGAGAACGGCGCAGGGTCTGCCGCACGGAAGGGGAGCATTCTCCTGCTCGATCCCTGTGCCCGGGAGAGAGAAGGCTGTGGATCAGAGCCATCACTTTGGCTCCGACTCAGGAATCCTCTGGGTCAGAGCACAACTACTTCATAGGGTTTCTCAGGCTATAATCTTGACAGGAGCTGATCGTTCCTAGAGGTTTTGTTCTCCTGCGGAGCAGCTCGTGGGTTCAAACGATGTGGTTTGCAGCCATGCACTGAACCACTGTGCCGCCGAGGCCCCTGGACTCACAGATAATCGCAGTTATCCTTTCTTTGGCTTTCCATTTAGTGGCAGGCAGCATGCTTTGGTCTTGGATGCATGATCTCTAATCTTCCCATCAATCTCCTCAAGAAGCATGATTATCATCAAAATACATGATGGCCATCATGTGTCGGGCCAACTGGACAGCGTTTAACAAATAACAACATCTCTCAGACAGCCAAAAGGAAAGGGGAATGAGGAGTATCCTCCACACACGTTTAAAAACTGAGTGCTCTGGCCAGGAAGAGGCTCCCGTTTTCCCCCGAGAGACTCAGTCTAGTCACAGTGGTCTTTCTCCTTTGACTAGAAACCAAATGGTGTGGGCTTCAGTCCTTGTCTCTGGAAAAGGAGGCAACTGAAGCTCATTAAAAATAGGTAGTTTGACTACCTGACTACCAATGACTAAATATTAACTAACCATTCGAAGTCACGCTTTGTACGTTTTATAATTATCTATGCAATTCAATAGGGCTGCTGGTTTTTGCTGGAGTTTTTAGTGATAGAACCACTATAGGATAGCAAAAATTCCTTCAGACCTCAAAGGACCCAAATGAGTTCCTGAAACCCAGCAGAGGAGGAGGGAAACAGCCTTTGAGAGAACTTGTGGGCCAGAAAAGGACCACCAAGGAGCTTGGCTATTATGTTTCCTCTAAGAATAGAGTGATCTTAACTGGTTACTGGGGGCCAAAGAAGGTCACCACCCAGGCCTCCCACATTCTGGGCTACTTCCAACCATCCAGACAGAGCTTTTCTAAGACTCTTTCCACTTCCTAATGAGAATTTAAATTATTAATCAAAGAGACCTGGATATCTACTCATCATCCTGCCCCTCAAAAAAATAAAAACTCCCACATGGAAGAAGCACACCAGCCTGTGTGATCACGAGGTACTGAAGGGATCGGTTATCAGGCATCAAAGAACAAAAAGTCGTATCATTGTGTGCTCACCTCCATGATACGATCGCCGAAGACAAATGGGTGCATAAGCAAATATGGCGAAGAAAGCTGATGGTGCCTGGCTATCAAAAGAGATAGCATCTGGGGTTTTAAAGGCTTGAAGGTTAACAAGAGGCTCTTGTTTTTCCCCTAGAGACTCAGTCTAATCACAGTGGTCTTTCTCCTTTAACTAGAAACCAAATGGTGTGGGCTTCAGTCATTGTCTCCGGCAAAGTTCTCACACATCTAATACTCTTTAAATATTCTTAGAAGTCATCTAGCTCAGAAGCAACAAAGCCCACATGGAAGAAGCACACCAGCCTGTGCGATCATGAGGTATCGAAGGGACCAGGTATCAGGCATCATCAGAACAAAAAATCATATCATAGTGAATGATGGGGGGAGTGCGGAGTGGAGAACCAAAGCCCTTTTGTAGGCCACTGGAGATCCCCTTACAGAAGGGTCTCTGGGAGGAGACAAGCCAGCCAGGGTGCGATGTAGCAACGATGAAACATACAACTTTCCTCTACTTCCTAAATGCTTCCTCCCTACCCCCACTATCATGATCCCATTTCTACCTTACAAATATGGCTAGACCAGAGGATGTACACTGGTACAGAGAGGAACTGGAAACACGGGGAATCCAGGGCAGATGATCCCTTCAGGATCAGTGGTGTGAGTGGCGATACTGGGAGGGTAGAGGGTGGGGGGGCTGGAAAGGGGGAACTGATTACAAGGATCTACATGTGACCTCCTCTGTGGGGGACAGACAACCGAAAAGTGGGTGAAGGGAGACATTGGACAGGGCAAGATATGACAAAATAATAATTTATAAATTATCAAGGGTTCATGAGGGAGGGGAAAAATGAGAAGCTGATGCCTGGAGCTTAGGTGGAGAGCAAATG